CGACCACACTATCGCTCACTGCCGCGACCCCGTACGGTGCTCTCGCGGTTGGTGCTCCGACCACCGGAGCTTCAGGTGCAAAGCCGTCCGCTTCCTCCCGTTCTTCCCTGCTATGCCTCCTTCTCCTCGTATTAACCCCGCTTTTGTGCGGCCTCCTGGCAGCTCAATGGCTCATACGACGAGTACCCACACCACCTCCGGCTCCTCCGCCGGTTCCGCGCTCTCCGACGGCGCCCCAATCTGGTTCGGCTCCCACTGTGTTCTTACCAATGACCTGCCACCATTCCGCCTCCCGCTCCTCTTCGGCCCGCGTGCCTCATCCTCATCCCCCCGGCGCCGTCCTTCGCCCCACCACCGCCTCCAGTTTCGGTCAACATGCCCTACGCTGCATCAGGCTCCCCCTCGTCACCACATATCCCCCTCCTCGTACCTCCCAGTTGCCTCGTTAGGCAGGTGGATAACCTAGCCTACGTGCACCTCGCCACCCCTCTGCACAACCCACTTAGGTTCATTCGCCAAGCCCTCGCCCACCACCGCAACAACACTACGTTCGGCCTCACCTCCTCCGCTCATGGCGCCGGGCGTCTCTCCTTCCCTAACGCGGAGGAGCGCCTCGCGGCCACTGGCCATGGTCCAATCCATTTCCAGGGCAACACTCTCTTCTTCGAACGGCCTGAGCACGCTGACAACAGATCCACAGCCATCTTCATTCACATGGCGGAGATCGAGGCTTTCGATTTCCCTGACGAACTGTGGCACCCAGAGGGAGTCGACTACTTCTTCTCTCACCTTGGAGATTTCGTCTCCGCCGACCAGCACTGCTTTCAGGGTGACTACTCGAGCGTACGCGCTCTGGTTATGGTTGCCCGTGACTTCGTCCTCCCCCCATGCCCCATGGTGAGGCTCCCTGACAACGACGTTGTCATTGTCATGCTTGAGAGCCGTGCGCTCTTCCGTCATGGTTCTCATGCCTCCCCTTTCTCCTCGGAGGATGGTGACGATGGCTCCCTCTCCTCCCTCGCTTCAAACCCTCATCTCTCACCCTCCACCATCTCACAAATCAGAAACAATGCCATGGCCATGTCCCCATTCTCTTGTACACCGGAGTCTCCCTCGGGCCCTCCTCCATCTCCCGTGGACCGGCCTCTAGAAGGCATCCTGATCCTGGCTGTCATGGCCGATGGCATGCCTGTCGCCATGCTGGTTCATGCCCCTTGGGCTCCACCATCTCGCTCAACCTCTCCGGCTAAGGATCGGGCTCGATCTGGCCCTTCTCGTCCTCTGCTTGCCCTGCCAGCTCCACCACCTTCGCCGTCGCTTCCGGCTCCGCCGTCTCCACCTCCCCCTCCACCTGCCCCCACGGCCATCCTCTCGCCGGAACCCACTCATGAGTGCCTTGCCAGGCGTATCAGCAGATGCGCTAAGATGGCGGCCGACTCTGGCATCAAGGCCAGGCCAAGCGCCAGGCTGGCTGAGATCGAACCGCCTATCTACTCCTCAATGGCCTCCAGGGCTATGCGTTCCAAGGCTAAGAAGTTGGATCTGGCTGTTGCGTCCAAGGATCTTTTTGACGCTCTGATCCACGCTCGTCTCTACGACGAGTCTGGGCTCGTCGACGGCTCATCTCACGGCCACGCCTCGCCTGAAGATCTTGCCGCTGTTGCTGCTGCCTGCGGCGCATCGCCAGAGGAGGTTGCGGATCTTGCTTCGGGCTCTGGTGACCTGGGATCGCCATGATCTGCTATCCGTTCTGTGGCCACGCGTGTGGCGGCCAATCATGGACATGTATCCGGTGTCTAGCACCGCTCGGTAGTTGCTATGTTAGAAAGACCCGATCCGTTAGTGTGCTCACGCCTACTTCTGTCAGTTTATCGTACTGTAACTTGACACGATTTGGTTGTCGATCGTGTCAATACCCCTATGTAAGGTGCTACCTCAAGTTTCATCTATGAAGAACGCTTCCTACTCGATCGTATCCTGGAATGTACGTGGTTTAGGTGACAATGACAAGTGTGCGAATGTGTTCTCTGAAATCAATAGCTTGCGCCCGTCCATAGCCCTTCTTCAAGAAACCAAGTTACAAAAACCTGACACTATCAAGCTTCGATCGATCCTGCCACGATTCCTTGATTCCAACAATCACCTCGACGCATCTGGTACTGCGGGGGGCATTCTTTCGGCCACCAACTCCCGATGCTTTTCGCTCATCAACTGCCAACACAACCGCTTCACATCAACCTTAACACTATCATGTCTTGCATGGCCACACAACATCTTCGTTACAAATGTATACGCTCCATCGCAACGTGATCTAAAGATGGCTTTCCTTGACGAACTAAAATTAATTGAACCACCAATACAATCACCTTGGCTCCTAATTGGAGACTTCAACATCACCAGATTCCCCAACGAATGTAACAGCAACAACTTTCGAAGATCAGAGGCAGACGCTTTTAACAATACAATTGATCAACTTGCTCTCATTGAACTACCACTCCTAGACAGAGAGTTCACCTGGTCAAATAAAAGGCAGTCTCCTACTCTAATCCGACTAGATAGGGTTCTGATCAACCTAGCTTGGGATGCTATCTTCCCTAACTCTCACTTAACCTCTCTTACTAGGTTTATTTCTGATCACGTACCACTACTTGTCTCAGTATCCACGTCCGTCCCATCTTCCCGCCTTTTTCGATTCGAACGATTCTGGGCCTCATTCCCAAAATGTGCAGATGTGGTACGTGAATGTTGGCAGCCCAACACTGCCCATCAGGGGCCCCCCATGGACCCTGCTACCACCCTAGCTGTTTGCATCAAATCTACAAGATTGGCCCTAAAGTCTTGGGCCAAAAGCTAAAGCCCATCTACCAACGAGAAACTAACTGCAAACTGGCTATCCAGGCCCTTGATTTAAACGAAGAAATCGCTCCACTCCTCCCGCTCGAACAAAAACTTCGGCTAACGCTCTCCAATTTGCTTCAACTGACTATCAAACAAAAGATCTCCTTCTAGAAACAAAAGGGTAAGGTCCGCATGGCCGTGGACGGTGATGAGAACACTAGATTCTTCCATGCTTCGGCAACCCAGCGATTGAGAACAAACAAAACCCCCATGCTTATTCACAACAACGCTGAAGTTTTCCTCCACGAACAAAAATCTCACATTTTGAAAGATTTTTCAACCAATTGATAGGCACCACTAAACATGCTACCTGGAATTTCAGTCTTCTGTACCTATACCCCTCACCCCTCCCTCAGCTTCGTGATCTAACGCTGCCATTCTCTCACGAAGAAATCCATCAAGCTTTTCTCTCCATGAACACCAATGCCAGCCCTGGACCAGACGGCTTCGGGCCCATCTTCTTCAGAAAATATTGTCACATCATCAAACCAGCCATCCTACCATTTTTTGCAGCCTTCCAGGATCAAACCGTCTCTCTCGAACGCTTCAACCAAGCCTACATGGTAGTTCTACCAAAAACTCAGGCGCCAACTGCTCCAGATGCGTTTAGGCCTATATCCCTCCAGAACTGCACGCCAAAGGCAGCTGCCAAAATCCTCACAAATAGAGTTAAACCTCTCATACCGCTTCTCATTCACTACGATCAGACGGGCTTCCTTCATGGCCGTAACATAGCCGAAAACTTCATTTATGCTGCTGACATTCTCAGTACGTGCCACACTCGCAAAGCCCCGACCATGGTTTTTAAGTTGGATTTCAGGAAAGCATTTGATTCCATATGCTGGTCCTCCCTCTTACAAATTCTAATTGCCCGTGGCTTCCCTGCCATCTTCTGTGATTGGGTCCAAAATATCCTCTCCACTGGAAAAACGACTATTCTTTTGAATGGTGTACCAGGGCCATGGATTCAATGTCGATGTGGACTTAGACAAGGGGACCCACTCTCACCGTATCTGTTCATCATCGTCGCGGATGTTCTCCAAAGATTAATCGCCAAAGCCTTTCAAACTAACGTTCTCTGCCACCCTCTACGACCAAATGAACCACCGGTGACACTGCAATACGCGGATGATACCCTCATTATCGTTGCTGCTAGTGATGCAGCCACTCTGATTCTCAAAAAAACCCTCCATGATTTCGCCCTGGCAACGGGGTTGGTAATCAACTATCACAAAACTGCTCTTCTCACAATAGCTGCGGACTCAGCCACACAAAAAAACATTGTTGCTGCTATCGGATGCTCAACATCCTCCTTCCCGCTGGTGTACCTAGGGCTCCCACTATCCCCTACAAAATTACCACTAACGGCTTTCGACCCAATCATTGATAACTTTCGGAAATTCCTCTTTGGATGGGTGGCGCGCCTTCTCTCACGAGGGGCTAGGCTCACCCTCCTGACTGCGGTCCTAGACTCCCTAACTGTTTATTTTATGTCAGTATTCAAGCTACCTAAATCCATCTTAGCAAAACTTGACGCTATTCGGAGAGATTTCTTCTGGTCTAACGAGTCTACATGCACGGGGGCGAGCTGCCTTGTCGCGTGGAAAAACGTTTGCAAACCCAAAGATACTGGTGGTCTAGGCATTAAAAATCTTGAGATCCAAAACCGCTGCTTGCTTATGAAATTCTCCTCCAAAATTCTGCAAAACCCAAATGTCCCATGGACCCAGTGGTTCAACCAATAGCACCCGCTTGGCATAGCTGCAAAAACTACATGACCTTCCTTTCTATGGAAGGTTATCAACAACAACCTGCCACTGCTAATTGAGCATTCCTTTGTCATCACATTCAATGGCCTCTCCACCTTCTTCTGGCTAGATAAATGGCTTCTACAGTCACCACTACAAAAAGTTTTCCCCAACCTCTTCTCACACTCCATTGATGACAAGGTTTTAGTGGCTACCGTCCAGCAAACCAGCTTATTGGCGAACCTGCGGAACCGTCTATCTAATGCTGCTGCTCGCGAGCTGGATAGTGTGTTGTTGTTGTTGCAGGACTTCCAGCAGGTGGACCAACCGGATGAACGGTCTCTCACCCATGGCATGCCGTTCTCAGCCAAGAATGCCTACTCCTCCATTGTTGCTGAAGACTACACCGACCCTCACCATGATCTCGTTTGGGCCTCAAAAGTCCCGATCAAGGTCAAGATCTTCGCATGGCTACTCCTCAGCGATCGGCTGAACACGAAGGCCAACATGCTTCGCAAGCACATTGCACAGTCAGCCGCATGCCCTCGCTGTCAAGACCCTCATGAGGACGCGCTCTACCTCATCTCCACCTGTTCTTATGCTACACAAGTCTGGACCTCCCAGGGTCTGCAAGCTCCAACCTCTATTGATGATCTGCTCCAACACCCACCGCTTCAAGGCCTCAACCCAAACATATGGCCATCGGTCGCTCTGACTATCTCTTGGAAACTATGGGACTCAAGAAACGCCCTTGTTTTCAGAAACGAAGACCACTCTCACAGGACCACGCTACGCAACATTGTCGCTGATTTCTCCCTATGGGTTTTTCGGTTCAAAGGTTCAAAAAGAAGGAAGACAATTTATTCGCTAAGCATTGGCTTCACTTCTTATCCTCAGCTATTCCCTAAAAAGCTGATGTTGTAACTTTTCTCTGTTGTAATTCTCGAACTTCCATTGAGTGGTAATATATTCAGGTGGGGAAGCTCTCCCCCCCCGGTGACCGTTCAAAAAAAAGTTATTGTTTTATGTGCTATAAATAATCAGTGAAACAGAATGCAGTTGAATGGTAGGAACGGCATGCAATTCTTTGATAAAGCAAGCAAATAAGAACATAATGTGAGAGCACATGGATTAGATAGTAGACCTCTCAATCAACTTATCTGGGAGACTCAGAAAACATAGTAAGCTGAATGAAGGAATAGCAATCAAGGGTACCAAGCGGTAAGAAAGGAATTGCTCTGAATATATACACCACCGTGAACATGAGCTCCCACATGAAAGAACCGAGGGGGCATAAAGGCCGGCAAAAAGAAAAACCTGACTTGATATAATCACCATCGAATAATCGGAGATTATTACTACTTAATGTTAATTGCACGGTCAAAAATATCCAATCAGGAAAAAGAAACAGTAGCACGTTACCTTCCGGGATAAGGCATGCAAAACATTGATTATCTGTGGTAGAAGCTTGGATCAATGACAACAGCGTCTCTGTCCGAAGATCACCAGGTCAGCTTGTTGGCCTGGAGATTGTTCACCAAACAATAAAAGAACAATGTAGATAGAAACCTGTACAGCTCAAGTACTCCCTTCAGGCTTCACTTAACTTAAAGTTTGTGGAAACAAAAGGAAACATATACTTAAGACATGATTCTGAGGGACTTGAGAAACTATGTACAGGAAAATATTGAAAGTCTAGGCATTGTATCTTTTTGCTTAATAGCCCTAAAATGCAGAATAAATCGATATGTTGTACAATGTCTATAATCAGAATTTCATCAATTATTAAAAAACTACATAGCATTCAAATCATCTAGATAGGAAAACAGAAATTAATTCCTTGGCAATTCTAGACATCTAACGTTCTCCGTGTACTCTTCCAGCAAGACCCATGCTGCACTGCCTGATTTTGCTTGAGGGCATGGACGTGCAGGTTTCCCATGGATGCATCCATCTAAAATGTTGTACGGAACCATGGTTCAACCGAACCTACGCTCGGCACCATTGATTTCTAGACACTATTCACGAGGATTCATGCATGATTGATTAAAAAATGCAGCTGGCATGCAATGTCTATTCATAAGGATTCATGCATGGTTGATTAAAAAATATAGTTGGTATGCATGTCACAGATCCACATGTAGTAGGATGTTAAATCGTACGGCATAGACCATAGGTTCGGCTGAACCATGGTTCTGAATCACTTCTCTCATGCATCCATGGCGTTCATCAGCAAAATTCCTAGGCGGCAACCAACTATATATGTATATATGGAGCTAGTTCGTTTCACAAGCATTGAGTCAGTATAATAATATCATGGATCGGTTTATAAATTGACATTCTATCTGAGCTAGAAAGAATAACATACCTTCAAATTGTGTGCAGTTCGGAGCAGTTGGACTACAGACCAGAAAGAAATCGAACCTAATAAAGACCACAACCCAAGTCGTTAATTTCTTGATAATATTATAAGCCAACTTGCTCCTATCTGCACCTGCACCAAGTCCCATCGAATATGCAGCTGCAGAGGCTGCGCGGTGGCCGCGGCGATATGCCTGCAGATTTGTCCCGTCCAGCCGCCACATGGTACCGGAAGGAGATGAGTCAAGGTGAGGGATTCAACTCAGATTCGCCGAGCAGGCGTCCGGTGGAGCGGTGGTGGCGGAGAGGGCTCCAGTTTGTCCCGTCACCGGAAGGAGATGGACAATTAAAATCCCTCTACGGGTGATGAAGATGCATGAATGATTGCATGCCCCAACCCGTTTCATGTGTATTTGTGGTGGGAAGGTCGAAGAATCGAAACTGTTGCCGGGGATGGAAGGAGAATAGGACAACGCATTAATCGGGGAAGTGGAAGAGGAAAAGACTCGAGGCGACGCGCCGAGGAAGGATGAGCCAACCGGAAGGACGTGGGGCACCGGGGATCAACTCTTGGCGGCAAATCTGAGGCATGTGTGGTCAATCCAACGGCTGAATGAATTTGGGATGACGTGGAAGCCTGAGAAGGTAGGAAAATCAGGTAGTGGGGCCCTCGTATTTAGATATACGGATAGCTGTAGTAAAGCAAGGTAGTTGTCAGAATCTTGACGATTTTTGCTGTTGCAGAATATATTGAATCGTGCTCTCTTGCTATTTTGTTTGTTCTTTCTGGATATTGTGGATATACATGCTGACAAACGGGAACAAAATCGACCATCAGCAAACAAGATGATGTGTCACTACTTGACGTCTTGGGTTTTCTCACACCGTCTCCCTGATTGCTTGAGCTCGACGCCATGTTCCCCTCCCTTGCACGCAACGAGCCTGGCTGTGAGGAAATGGTTGAATCTTAGCAGGCCTGGCTGGATGGTGCTTTAGACATTGTGCATGCCAAAATTTGAATGTAGACCAGACAATCAAACAAACCAAAACTTGTGGTGGAGCTGGATAACAGGCCCACCTAGATTCACGTGTCTTCTGTTGGCACCGGACATGCAACTTGTGACAACTCTCACACACGTAAAGTTCGCATACTCGGAGTGATTGGACCTATTGGCACATGGGTGCACTAATCTTGCTCCTAGGCATACAAAGGTAGTACTGCCTTCAGGTCTGTGAAAGGTTTGACTCACAACGTTCCCTGTGCGTGCGGGCACTGGACATCCGACCTAGACCAGGATTGCTATTTCTTCTACTGCTACCCGACCGCCATGGAAAAAGGTTGCATCCTAGAATTTTCTGATGCCGCTCATTCATATCTTTATCACCTTAATAACATATATGGACCATTATGATTGATCATCATCTTCATGAGCCTTCCTCGCCACAAAGTAATAAAATATGTCAGTTCAATGAGGCCAAGATTACGAGTCTACTCACTGACTAGCCGTGACCTATGAGTAATTCAACATGGATGTGTGACTATGTGGTGCAAGTGGTGAGGAAAGTGGGGGGAAATGGAGCTACGTACTCTTATAGGTCATGAGCAGTGCGTGTGCACATGACCTTCAATTTTTTCCATCTGTCAAAGATTTGTGGCAGCCTCCAGTTCTGTCTTTATGTGGTCCCTCGATAACCAAAAGAGATGAGCTCCCTACACATCATTATGCATCCAAAAAACACATCATTATCAGTCTGACCTCACCTACCTTGCATCGTGGTAAAGACTTATTTTCCACATTGTAAACAAATTAGTAGTTTGTACACTTGTCAGAGTAGTATGTGCCTTTCGAAAATTCCGGGTAAAGACAAAAATGTTATGGACTTTGCAAATGTAAAGCATTTTCAAATTTATCCTTATTATTACCCCTTCTCTTTTCTCAACCCAGGTGAACTCTTACCATTACAAAAAATATATCAAAATACACATTAAACACTCCAAGACATGCATCCTAGCAACCCTTAAAACTACTCAAATTTTATTTTGTATCTCTATCTTCGTTTTATATTTCTATGTTATTTAGTCATCTTGATTGTTGGAAATGGAGACATTTATTTTATACAGAGAATGAAAACCAAGCTAGCGATTTTGTTTGTTTTTTATTTTGTCCCCAACTGAGGCACTTTCAAGTAGTTTTTTTAAATCTCTTGCATCTCTGTATCGGAAATTCGCAGAGGCACGCGGGCGCGGGGGCACGCACCTGCCTAGGCATGCCCAGCCGCACGATTGCTTCACGGATGCGAAGTTGTTGGATTTCCCATGAGGGCACAACAAGTTTTATGTTTTAGTTTCTTAAACTTGGGGATTTTGTCATTCGTTCGAATCAAGTTTTAGAAGATGAAATTTGGTGGAGTTTTAAAAACTCATCAAAATGTATTCAAAAGTGGTCATATTTCAAAGCCCTCGTCACAAGGAACACAATTATATGAAGACGGAACTTAATTGGACTTTTGGTTCAAAAGGTATTAAAGATTTAAAATCGAAAGCCAAATAAAAAATGCGGTGTGCCTGCCATAAATCATCTCTTATCTCTTTATGGCACTCCAAGTTTCCTAGTTGACTCCACCCAGATGCTCGAGAGGCTCCTCTCCTTGGTGAACACAAGAACTGCATGTTTTCTCCGGCCCTCACGGCCTCTTCTTTTCATTCATCCAATGCACAATATAAACACGGAGGGGTGGCACTCATGCCATGACTAAAGCCACTACTTTGACCCATTACTCCACTAACCACGTCCTAGACTACCTCCGTTGTCCATACTACTCGGCAACCACCTGACCAAGCAAACTAGATGCACACAGCTAAGGGCATGTACAACGGCATCCACTCAGCCATCTATAGCCCATGCCACGTGAGATTTTTTATTACGTGGAAGAGAGAGAATAGGGAGAGAGAAGAATGGTGTTTGTAATTTGGCAGACAGTCGAATCCCACAAATATCGCTAACTACCGATAGCTTTTTCACCATTGTACGCTGAGCCGTCGCTAATTTCCCGTTTTCCCTCCCAACTGCCTTATCCAATGATGGCAGATTTCTTTTCAGATCCTATAATTTCCGGCTGCCACAGATGGGAAAGAGACGATCTGTTGTGGAGGTCGTTTTTACTACTGTCTATAGTTGACGTGAAGGATTGTTGCAGACTCAGGTTGTCTCAACTAATGTACATGCCCAAGAGCATCTTCAATAGAATAGAAGATATAGATGCAAAAAATAACTAATTTTTGCATCTTCGAGGTTGAAGAATCCCTCTCCAACAGATGATGTAGATGTAAAAAAGAATTACATCTCCACCTACACAGATGGAGGTAAATATCGCGGCCGCGCACCAACTGCCAACCGCTCTTCTGTTACCTTTCCTTCCTCCTCTGTCCAGCCGCCGCCGCTCTGATTCGCCGCCATCTCCAATGTCGCTGCCCGCCTGTGCTAGATCCGGACGCGCACCACCCCCATCGCCCTTCCACCGCTACTCTGCTGCTCTCCGCCTCGAATCGCCGCTGCTCCGCC